ATTTTAATTATTAATGAAGATGTGTTTTATATGCATACAATTGCATTCATATTTCTTTACAATCCTCACAACTGTCGCTTTGTCTTTTTTAATTTCAGTTTTTACTTAATTTAACCTATTTGACTTGAACTCCCTTTGTTGTCCCAGATAGGCTAAGATATTTCTGGTATTTATGCTGTGAATTACTACTATTGATTACTACTATTATTGATTATATTAAATTAACCAATTTGATGAGTCCAGAAGTTTGAAGAACTGTCTGTTTTTCAATGTATTTAATAAATAAATAAGATAAAATAGACATTTCAATTTACTCCTTGTTTTTTTATTATTCATATTAATTCAGATTATTTTAATATATAAAATAATATAATGATGAGTTATTATTTAAGTACTTTAGTTGTCCTACAGCCCCCTGGGTGAGAACCATTGCTTTAAGAAATAGCTATGTCTTTCTTTTGGAGAAATTGAAAGTTTTGAATAATCCTCATGCAGTTTTTTTTTTTCTTCAAAACTTCAAAAAGACAAAGCCCACTGTAGAAGTCCTTTTAAAGCAGTCTGTATGCAATTTTGTTCTAAAAGTGCAAGTTATAAACTGATAATTTCCCCTTTGAGCTAGTCTGTTTGCAGAGAATGTATCTAGTAATCACTACTGGCTATGAATTTCGTCTTCTGAAGAGTATTAAATTGTGGAAGACCCTTGTTTATATACCAACAGTTTTGAACCATTTTAGCAAATTTAAAGTTCCCTCATGCGACCATTTATTAATGCTGCTTTGTCTTTCTCAATTACACAAAACCTGATATTTCAAACTTTCATTTGTGAAGCATTTGATTTAAGTTTCCTCTGTTAAGTTTTGTTTTGAAGATATTAAGTAGGGCCCTTTGTTGAAATCTAAACTGTCCTAGACATGTCTCTATATATTCTACAACTGCTTTTCTTTAGATAGTTGCCCCACCTCCTGTCCTCTAATGCATTAATATTAGATACTAAATGACTTCATTGTAACTCTCTCTCAACAAGTCTCAACATGGGATTTCCTGTCCACTTTTATGAATGCTTATGAAGGTTCTTAGTCATCCAGGTCATTGTGTGATGTCAGGCAGAGTTTATTTCTAGAGCATCAGAACTCGTTAAACTAATTTCTCGCTTAAGCACCCGAAAGGCTTGCCTTGTGGAGGCTTGACCTTTGACACTGAGGCATGCCCTTATACAGAGGAGGTTTCATTTTCCTAATTTGCAATCCTTCTTTTCGCTATCCTTAATTTGAACGAGTGGGTTTTCTATGCCTTAACACACACTGGACAGTCTGAGAAGGCTCATTTCTTGTCTTGTACATCTTTGTGTACTTTGGTTTGATTTGACATAAATACACTGATGGCTAGGTGAGAACCACTGATCTATGATAGATCAGTGGTAAGAACGCTTCTGGCAAACCAGCATTAGATTTGAGAGAGAGCAAATAGGTGTGTGGTGTTGTTGGTTGACAACACTCCATGCTCGCCATGGCAGCTATATAAACAGTCATCATACTCAGGAAAGAAGAGGAAGTGTAGATCTGATGTCTGTCGGTCAGCTTTACATTGAATGGGATTGTCCTGTTGTGCCCACTGGATCTAACTGAATTTTGTTTTAATACCCCTCAAAAAAAGTACTGTGCCAGTACCAAAACACAGTGATAGTAGGATACAGTATATATACAATAGCATGATTATTCATAGCATACAATTCATGTACCATTATATTTACATGGTAGGCTACTCTGGCGTGTCCAAGACACCATGGTAATACCATAGTACTTTTTGGAACTTTGTTGTAAGTGGCATGTATAATGTGAAGAGTGAAGTGTGTAGTTATCTTAGGAAACAGTGATAAAAATGTTTGTTTTGATCTAGGGCGCCCACTGCTTACCTAGCGTCTTACTTTCAGTTTCCCCCGAGGGGTTGCTAACTCCAAATCTCAAATGTAACAAAAGGATCTGGAGAAATGTTATTGTTGTAAAAGTACATTTTGTCTTTAAAATTTTTGTGAAACATTTATTACCTAAGTAAAGTAGAAATGTCCAAAATCTATAGCCTGCTTAGTCACAGTAACAAAGTAGTTGTACTTTGTTACTATAATTCGGATAGGCCTCGGAAAGTTCTAGATGAATATTTAATGAAGTAAAGAGACGATGATCATTAGACTTTTTGCAGGACAATGATCCAGCCAAATCTGCCAAAGACTGGTTTGGGTTTCCTGCCTGGAATGTTCTTGAGTGGCCCATTCAATTTCTGGATTTAAAGACCATTGAAAATCTATGGTGAGATTTGAAGAAAACAGTGGCAGTAGAGAAACCAAAGAATTTATGAATGTGAATAAATATATTCATTAATTTATTCTGAACATTGGTTATCTTTAATCAGTTTAGTAGTGTTTACTGGTTTGAGCCACAAGAGGGCATCCTAAAAATAACACATAAGAGAAAGTGATTCCTTCAATGCATCAGTAAGTGCCCATCTCATGTGTAATGACACTTGAATAATAGTAGGCTTAATTTAGATAATGTTAGTTTAATGGCTGAGGTAAGCACAGTGTGGATTTACACTGCAGCTTGTTTTCTTATCAGCATTTCCTTCCCTTGCTGTAATTATATTCACATTTACATTGTGGTCAAACAGAGGGCTTTGGCCGCACAAAAGTATGCTCTTCCTCTGTAGCTCAACCCACAGCAGTTTCTGTTTCTCATGACGCACACACAAGTCTACAGGCAGAGACGTGATGATTTCATACTTATTTGTAAAGATATGATTTCCTACATTCCTATATCAAAGTGTAACCATACCATTTAGAATAGTTTTGAACAACACAGTATAAAATCTTAGATTTGAAAGCTTTGAATTCTTTCCTGTGTGAGCTGAAATGACAGAGAACATTAGTGGTGGGTTTTTGACATTCAGTGTGCAGTGGAGAGCTGTTCAGTCTCTGCTTAAAATGGTTGAAGGCAGCATGTTTTCCCACCATTTGTCAGACAGTCTTATAAGCATAAATTGCTTTTGCAGAAGTATTTAAAAATTATTTTACAATTTCAAATAACCACAGACAAGCAGATGCCATCCCTTACTCTTTTATTTATAGTGAATGAAATATCAGCTTTATCTAGTGTCCGAAGTAAGACCAATCAATCTTTTTTGGCACAAGTAGACGAATGTATTTCAAGCTTGTTTCACTACTGCTTTTTTCACTTTCTGTACCTGTGAACTTCTCTACCGTGGAGCTCTTAGATTGGTATTTGACATATTCCACTTTGACTTTAGGGGCCTCATTTGTAAAATGTTGCGTATAAACCGTCCTAAATTTGCTCTAAGATCATTTCTCAAAAGTGCATCAGTGCGATTCAGAGAAAACGAACGTGCGCACAAAAACATGTGCGTATACGCCTCTCTTCCAGATGAGACATTTATAAATCGCAAATGATCTTGAAATTGTGCACAGTTGACTGGTGTCAGATCTCCTGTAAAAAAAATTATAAAAACAATATGGAATAAACTGTGTAGGCCTACAGAAAGCGAGTAAAGAACTCTCAACATTACTTAAAAAGGTCAGTTTAATCTTGCAAAAACTCTAAAAATCTCGTAAAGACTACACTGCACACTTAATCTTTTACACTGCATCTTTGTTGTTTATGATGAATTCGGTGCTTGCACGTATATACACCGCTTTTATTGTTATTGCAGATTAGATGTTCAAATAGCTGCAGTACTCCAACTTTTTCCACAAGGAAAAGTGCATACGCAGGTTCATTTTTTGTTGTTGTAAATATGCACATTGCCGTGGATTTTAGCGTACGCACAATAAGATCAAATCTGTTCGTACGCACATTTTATATGTGCAAAAATGATTTGCAATTATTTACATTGTTATATATATATTGTATATTGTATATATTGTTATTTTATATTAGATGCTAATATGGCAATATATTCAATTAGTTTTAATACAACTTTTTTACAATAATTTTATAAGGACTCTAAAAGACATCAAAATGGACATCTCTTATTATTTTACGGAATGTTGCAGTATTTATTGTAAATGATTTATCAGTGCATACCACTTTTTTTAAGGTCATGTGCCCTTGTAATCTTTAATCAAAGGCACTAAAGTGCTTCCAATAACATCTCTTCTCTGATGACGTGGTGTGAGGACTGGTGCGAGATCCATCTTCATTTTGGGGAATCAGAACTTTGTCTTAAACTGAACTGGGTAATCGGACTGAAGAGTTTGACTGAAGACTCAAAACTAATCTTCATATGTCCAAATTCAGATTAATATCAGAGTTTGATACAATTTGCACACAATGCTATATTCTGTTTCATTGTAACATGAAGGATTGATCCACGTGCACCAACAGGATAGGCCTAAATCCAAAAACGTAAACATGAAAGCAAGGTGGGTAATCCACAACATGGCATGGAAATAGCAACAACAACAAAACCACTCATAACAGTCTAGACAAACAATATTTCACAAAGACTGAGTGAGAAAACTATGTGGCCCAACATGAACAACCAGGAAGTAATGTGACAGGAACTAGAGTAACAGTTCTATATTCTGGAGAGGGCACCCTCTGGTGATCTAGAAGTGATCTAGAAGGAAATTTGGGCTGAGATGTTTACATATATTTTATTTTTTTTTTATTTTTTTTTTTTCAAAACTTGAGAATTTGAAACTTTCTGTTAAAATGTAACTACTGTTAAAATGGCTATTCACTATTTAAAAAAAAAACTGAGCTTTTTGCTGTGCATAATCAAATCATGCTGCATAAAAAAACTGCTGGTATGTTAGAATGTTCTGTTCACACAAACAATGATGACAATTTGAGGACCGTGAAGCAAGTGTGAACATCAGTGCGGTGCGAGACGACAGGAAACCATATTCATCACACTTGTTTCCTCTTTATCTGATGTGTCACAGTCGCTTGCTTCAGAGAACATATATCAGGTTTAGGCACTCTCAATGAAACCTGTATTAACTTAGAGATGAGAAAGCAAACAAAAGGATCGCTTCATTTAAGGATGGTAGACCTTTGGTGCCAAAAGTGGAACCTGCAACTATTGTTGTGTCTCACAGGACTCCTGCAGTGGGGTAAGACTGAACTAAATCACAAATATAAAACTTGACTTATTTTCTCTGAGGATATATAAGTTTTGGGACATTATTTAATTTTCTCACGTCTCATGTTGAATCAAATCCTATGTGAGATGCAAAAGGCTAGCAAACACTCAAGCTGGATTTTTCCATACAATGAATGTGGATGGTGATTACTTTCACAACTGTAAGGCTTTAAAAATGACAATATAATACCATAAACGTTACATACAAGTGTTTTTTACGACTCGTGAAATATAGCTTTTGAAGCTTTGTGACATTTAAGGGTTATTAACCAAAAATTCACTTAAATCTTATTTGCACTTCTTTTCTTTGTACTTTTGTCAATTAAATAAAAGTTAAAGAGAATGAACAAATCACAGATTCTTGATTTTATTGCAATTTACAAAATGTCCCAACTTGTGTGGAATTGGGCTTGTATTTCCGTGTAAAATATCTCTGAGATTTACCTGTCTAATGCTTGTCTCCACACAGATCTGTGCAGTGGTCAGATTCAGGTCCAGATCCAGAAAGGTCCTCTGTATAGAGTGAAAGGATATCCCATCTCCATATCCTGTAATGTTACAGGGTTTACAGGCCCATCTAACCGGGATTTTCAGTTTATTCTCAAGAAACCAAATGTGGAATTAAATATGATCAGTACCAGTGACCCAGACTTTGCCTACGGAATGTTCTCCGATAGAATAAGAAATAAAGAGATTTATATTCAAAGGCTGTCAGGATCTTCAGTTCTCTTGACAATCAAAAATTTGCTGGAGAATGATGCAGGTGATTTGCTCTGTGAGACCCTACACACAGGTGGTGCATATTACGGAGATTATGCTGCAGAAACAAAGCTTAATGGTAAGATATTTATTTATTTTGAGGGTTTGGGTGATTAATGAGAAGATCTGGCATTTTGAGATTATTGAAAGAGAAATCCATCCTTTAACACCCATTCACATTCCCATGTATCCCAAAAGAAGGTGACTGGCTATAAGCTATATTCACTGTTGGGGCGTAACTAGTTACCTGTAACGGCGTTACGTAATTTAATTACAAAATAAATGTAACTGTAATCAGTTACAGTTACTAAGAAAAAATGTGTATAACTAGTTACATGTAACGGCGTTACGTAATTTAATTACAAAATAAATGTAACTGTAATCACTTAGTTACTAAGAAAAAATGTGTAATATGTGTAATTTTACTTATGAAAATGTTAACAATTACAAAGGGGATTACATTTGAATATTTACACACATCCCACACATCCACTAATTGATTTATTTCCCAAATTGCACTGACTACTCTGAGACATACGGCCCTATAATTTTCGCGATGCGGAAAACACAGACTGGTTCGTAGAATCCAGTCATAAAAATGGAAGTCCTATAGCCTAACGCGGACGGAATATGCCACATTTTGGACGAATAAATCAAAAGTAGGTCAGTACACTTGAATCAAAACGCGATATGGACTAGTGTCTGTGAATATTAAGCCGCAAAAAGACACTAGTCCATATCGCGTTTTGATTCAAGTGTACTGACCTACTTTAATCAAAACCGAATTCGCCATTCGATAATTAAATCTCTAATAAATCTAATAAATCATAGTCGTGAGTCGTGAGTCAAGTGCAGGTCAGTTTCATCTGTAAATATGCTATTGTAGTTATTGTAGTTTTTACTTAGCTAAGCAGCAGCAGCCCATTGCTCATCAGTCATCACTCAAAATACTGTATAAAGGACATCATTATTATCTGTTGTAATGTTACAGTAGTAATTTAGCAGACAAATAATCATATATACATTATAATAGGTTTAGGGGGAGCTAGGGCAGACAACA